CTTTGCTTTTATCAGGCTTTGCTTGTGTCAGCCTTTGCTTGTGTCCAGCCTTTGCTTGTGTCCAGCCTTTGCTTGTGTCAGCCTTTGCTTGTGTCAGCCTTTGCTTGTATCAGCCTTTGCTTGGGTCCAGCCTTTGCTTGTGTCAGCCTTTGCTTGTGTCAGCCTTTGCTTGTGTCAGCCTTTGCTTGTGTCCAGCCTTTGCTTGTGTCCAGCCTTTGCTTGTGTCCAGCCTTTGCTTGTATCAGCCTTTGCTTGTGTCAGCCTTTACTTCTGTCCAGCCATTGCTTGTGTCAGCCTTTGCTTGTGTCAGCCTTTGCTTGTGTCAGCCTTTGCTTGTGTCCAGCCTTTGCTTGTGTCCAGCCTTTGCTTGTATCAGCCTTTGCTTGTATCAGCCTTTGCTTGTGTCCAGCCTTTGCTTGTATCAGCCTTTGCTTGTGTCAGCCTTTGCTTGTATCAGCCTTTGCTTGTGTCCAGCCTTTGCTTGTATCAGCCTTTGCTTGTGTCAGCATTTGCTTGTGTCCAGCCTTTGCTTGTATCAGCCTTTGCTTGTGTCCAGCCTTTGCTTTTGTCAGCCTTTGCTTGTATCAGCCTTTGCTTGTGTCAGCCTTTGCTTGTATCAGCCTTTGCTTGGGTCCAGCCTTTGCTTGTGTCAGCCTTTGCTTGTGTCCAGCCTTTGCTTGTATCAGCCTTTGCTTGTGTCAGCCTTTGCTTGTGTCCAGCCTCTGCTTGTGTCAGCCTTTGCTTGTATCAGCCTTTCCTTGTATCAGCCTTTGCTTGTGTCCAGCCTTTGCTTGTGTCAGCCTTTGCTTGTATCAGCCTTTGCTTGTATCAGCCTTTGCTTGTGTCCAGCCTTTGCTTGTATCAGCCTTTGCTTATGTCAGCCTTTGCTTGTGTCCAGCCTTTGCTTGTGTCAGCCTTTGCTTGGGTCCAGCCTTTGCTTGTATCAGCCTTTGCTTGTATCAGCCTTTCCTTTTGTCCAGCCTTTGCTTGTGTCCAGCCTTTCCTTGTGTCCAGCCTTTGCTTGTATCAGCCTTTGCTTGTGTCAGCCTTTGCTTGTGTCCAGCCTTTGCTTGTGTCCAGCCTTTGCTTGTATCAGCCTTTGCTTGTGTCAGCCTTTGCTTGTGTCCAGCCTTTGCTTGTGTCCAGCCTTTGCTTGTGTCCAGCCTTTGCTTGTGTCAGCCTTTGCTTGTGTCAGCCTTTGCTTGTGTCAGCCTTTGCTTGTGTCCAGCCTTTGCTTGTGTCCAGTCTTTGCTTGTATCAGCCTTTGCTTGTGTCAGCCTTTGCTTGTGTCAGCCTTTGCTTGTGTCAGCCTTTGCTTGTGTCAGCCTTTGCTTGTGTCCAGCCTTTGCTTGTGTCCAGCCTTTGCTTGTGTCCAGCCTTTGCTTGTGTCAGCCTTTGCTTGTGTCCAGCCTTTCTTTGTAGGATTATTTATTGCACGTCTTATTGGCTCATTTAACCTTGTTTTTTCCAGGGATCCCTACAGTTGTTGTTATTATTATTATCACTATTATCATTATTATTATTATTATCATTATTATTATTATTACTATTATTATTATTATTATTTTCATCATCATCATCATGGTCGTTTTCCTTCGTGTTCATAATGAATGCCTGAGAAGGGCCACAATTGTTTTACAGTATGAACCATACTGATAAAACTAGAAAAAAATATTTATACTTATGGCTATGTCTGAAACGACACACTATACATGCCGTGTATCTATCTCCATGTCATACAGACTCAAACGAAACTGGAATTTGATTCACTTGGTTTTCTTCCGAGGCTTTTTCCCCTACAAACACTCCGTTTAACCGTGGTGTTTCCAGGGATCCATATAGTTGTTATTACTATCATCATCATCATCATCATCTTTCTCGCTAATATCATTACTATCATTATCCCTGTGATAGTAATGAGAATAATAAAAATTAGTAGTAGTAGTTTTCATCTTATCGCTGTTATTCCTATTATGTTTACAATCATCATTATGAAAATAATGAGGATTTTTGTTATCATTATAATTGTTCATTTCAATTATCATATAATAAATAACAATGATAACCATTATGATAATGAAAACTGAAGTAGTATGAATAGTATAATTTATGCCTATATCGAAAGCACCAATCTATTTATTTTAATAGTTTCAGAAGAAACCACCTCAGGCATATCTGGAAGAAATTCATGGTCGTTTTCCTTCGTGTTCATAATGAATGCCTGAGAAGGGCCACGGTTGTTTTACAGTATGAACTATACTGATAAGAGTAGAAAAAATATTTATACTTATGGCTATGTCTAAAACGCCACAATATGTGGTTCAGTGACGGTGCCAAATAGCGAATTCCTGACGTCTTCAAGAAGGGACCATCTTGGGCATATATGGACGAGCCTTACCTTCGGAGTTCTTCGCGTTCACATCGGCGCCTTTGTCGATGAGCTTCTCTGCCGTCGCCTCGTGCCCTTCCTCAGCCGCCAAGTGTAACGGAGTATCGCCTGAAACGGGAAGATAAACAAATCAGTGAGATGGAGAGTGCGTAGTTCCATCTCATGACGTATCAAATATTTGTGGCTCTGCCTTAGACATCATTAATACTATCCAGGTTTATCGTTCGATATCGATTTAGAGTGGTCGACAATGTACTATCAGGAGCAGAAGTCCGGCAGCCTGGCAAAGGTTTCTAGGCGTCACCCGCAGATGTCGCAGTAAGGGAGGTAACAAAGCGGGGGGCAAAGGCACACACACATATATATGTATATATGGTATGTATAGAAATGGCTCCTAACAGCAATTTCCGTCGTGTTTCGAACGAATAGGGAGCTTATTCCCATCGTACACACAGCTCAGCTATGATTTCGGCCCCGTTAGTTAGGGAGAATATGAAAGAAAACCTGGGAATTGCCGTAGGATCGAGTTAAGTCAGTCACTTTGCTTTGATGCACAAAGGCAGCATATAGAGGGCTTCGTCCCATCAATTCCCTTTCCGGGGGGGTTACCACCCCCCACCCCACCCGACCTGGCCTGCAAAATCTTCCCCTCGCATGTTCTGGCTGGAGAGGGCAAATGTCTGACCCGCGTGCTGATTTGGATCAATTCTTACCTTAATTGAGAATTGCAAAGGGGTTAGCGGGTTATGGGATCAGCTGCTATGCCCTGTTCCTTTTTGGTATTTTACACAAACCATAAATGAACAAATACACAACACGGTTTTCCCAACACTTTGTACACTACCTGTCTACGATGGAACTCGTTTGGATTCCAAATACCTTTCCTTATGTCCAGCCTTTCCTTGTGTCCAGCTTTTCCTTGTGTCCACCTTTCCTTGTGGGATTATTTATTGGCTCTACTAGACACGCCGTGTATCTGTCCCCAAGTCAGTAACTCTGCTATGGAATGCACAAACGCAGTATATAGAGGGCTTCGTCCCATCAATTCCCTTTCCAGAGGGCTTACCGACCCATAAACACATATGTATGTATAAATGTGGTCATGTTTAGTGATTATCACTATGATCGTTGTAATACTTATAGTTAGTAGTAGTAGTAGTAGTAGTAATGTTATTATCTTCACTGCTGCTAGAACTATCATCAATATCATTATATTAATTATTACTACTAATACAATTATTGTAATGACCATCGTGTAATTATCATTTTTATTACTAAAATTACCATTAACATCAATATCATGGTTATAATAACCATGATATCAATCATGATTATTGATGTTTGCTACTAGTAAATATTAAATAGTTTTATTACTCTTATCATCATGTCATTATCATTGCTATTTTTCCTATTATTATTATTATCATTCTTCTTCGAGGCAAGTACATTGCACGGAAGTAGTTAGAGCATCAGTTTATGCACATATATACACGACTATCCAGAGGGGAAGGAGGTTAAGAAAGAAGGGGGAAAGGGAGAAGGGAAGGGGATTAAAAAGGAAATGGAAACAGAGAAGAGAAAAGAGAGGGAAAATGGACACAGAGACGAGGAAAGAGAGGGGAGATTGAGACAGAGACGAGGAAAGAGAGGAGAAATGGAGATAGAGAAGAGGAAAGAGAGAGGAAAAGGAGAATTGAAGAGGAAAAGGATATGAGTAAGGGGAAAGGGATGGTGAAAGAGAAAAGGCTTAGAGAAAAAGGGGGGATGGGAGAGTGAGGGAAGAGGACAAGAGTAGAGAAAGCGGGGAAGTTTAGGGAGGAAAGTGAGAGGGGAGGAGTAAATAAAAGAAAGATTACAGAGTGGAATGGGGTGACACAGCGGGAAAGGGAAAGTTGAGGGAGATAGAGAGGGAAAAGAAAAGGGAGAGAAGACCAAAAGGTAGAAGAGTGAGAGGGAGAAAGAAGTATCATTTATCCCCCCCCCCCCTTCCCCTTGGTACTTCCCGGAATCCCTATAGTTATTACCATTATTAACATTATTATTATTATCATTATGTTTCTCGTTAGTATCATTATCTTTGCTATCATTATCCCTATAATAGTAAAAAAAAAAAAAAAAAAATAGTAGTAGTACTCTTTATGCTATTGCTGTTATTTTTGTTATGGTTACATTCATCATTATGAATATTATACGGATTTTTATTATAATTGTTCTTTTCCTTTTTTCCTATTATTATTTTAATTATTATCATTATGCAATACATAGATAGGGAAAAATCAATAACAATAACTATTACAATGAAAATAAAAGTAGTATGAATAGTGTAATTTATGCTTATATTTAAAGCACCAATCTATTTAGTTTAATAGTTTCAGAAGAAACCACCTGAGGCATATCTGGAAGAAATTCACGGTCGTTTTCCTTCGTGTTCACAATGAATGCCTGAGAAGGGCCACGGTTGTTTTTCAGTGTGAACTATATTAATAGGACAAAACAATATATATAGAGAGTTATGACTATGTATAAAACGCCACAATATGTGGTTCAGTGACGGCGAATTCCTGACGTCTTCAAGAAGGGCCCACCTCAGGCATATGTAAACGATCTTTACCTTTTGTGGTCTTCGCGTTCACATCAGCGCCTTTGTCGATGAGCTTCTCTGCCGTTGCCTCGTGCCCTTTCCTAGTCGCTAAGTGTAACGGAGTATGCTCTGAAACGGGAAGATAGACAAATTATTAAGATGCAGAGGGTGCGTAGTTCCATCTCATAATGTATTAAATATTTGTGCCACTTCGCTTACTCTGCCTTACACATTATTAATACTATCCAGGATTATCGTTCGATTTAGAATGGTCACAGTGTACTATCAGGAGCAGAAGTCCGACAGCCTGGCAAAGGTTTCTAGGCGTCACCCGTAGATGTCGCAGTAAGGGAGGTAACAAGGCGGGGGCAAAGGCACACACATATATATATGTATATATGGTATGTATAGAAATGGTTCCTAACAGCAATTTCCGTCGTGTTTCGAACGAATGTAGCATTCCCATCGTACACACAGCTCAGCTATGATTTCGGCCCCGTTAGTTAGGGAGAATATGAAAGAAAACCTGGGAATTGCCGGACAAAAGCGAAGGATCGAGTTAAGTCAGTAACTCTGCTATGGAATGCACAAACGCAGTATATAGAGGGCTTCGTCCCATAAATGTGGTCATGTTTAGTGATTATCATTATGATCTTTGTAATACTTACAATTATTATTATTATTAGTAGTAGTAATGTTATTATCATCACTGCTGTTAGGACTATCATCCATATCATTATGTTAATTATTACTACTAATACAATTATTGTAATGACCATCGTGTAATTATCATTTTTATTACTAAAATTACCATTAACATCAATATCATGGTTATAATAACCATGATATCAATCATGATTATTGATTTTTGCTACTAGTAAATATTAAATAGTTTAATTACAGTTATCATGTCATTATCATTGCTATTTTTCCTATTATTATTATTATTATCATTCTTCTTCGAGGCAAGTACATTGCACGGAAGTAGTTAGAGCATCAGTTTATGCACATATATACACGACTATCCAGAGGGGAAGGAGGTTAAGAAAGAAGGGGGAAAGGGAGAAGGGAAGGGGTTTAAAAAGGAAATGGAAACAGAGAAGAGAAAAGAGAGGGGAAATGGACACAGAGACGAGGAAAGAGAGGGGAGATTGAGACAGAGACGAGGAAAGAGAGGAGAAATGGAGATAGAGAAGAGGAAAAGGAGAATTGAAGAGGAAAAGGATATGAGTAAGGGGAAAGGGATGGTGAAAGAGAAAAGGCTTAGAGAAAAAGGGGGGATGGGAGAGTGAGGGAAGAGGACAAGAGTAGAGAAAGCGGGGAAGTTTAGGGAGGAAAGTGAGAGGGGAGGAGTAAATAAAAGAAAGATTACAGAGTGGAATGGGGTGACACAGCGGGAAAGGGAAAGTTGAGGGAGATAGAGAGGGAAAAGAAAAGGGAAAGAAGACCAAAAGGTAGGAGAGTGAGAGGGAGAAAGAAATATCATTTATCCCCACCCCCCTTCCCCTTGGTATTTCCCGGAATCCCTATAGTTATTACCATTATTGATATCATTATTATTATTATCATTATGTTTCTCGTTAGTATCATTATCTTTGCTATCATTCTCCCTACAATAGTAAAAAAAAAAAAAAAAAAAAAAAATAGTAGTAGTACTCTTTATGCTATCGCTGTTATTTTTGTTATGGTTACATTCATCATTATGAATATTATACGGATTTTTGTTATTATAATTGTTCTTTTCCTTTTTTCCTATTATTTTGATTATTATTATGCAATACATAGATAGGGAAAAATCAATAACAATAACTATTACAATGAAAATAAAAGTAGTATGAATAGTGTAATTTATGCTTATATTTAAAGCACCAATCTATTTAGTTTAATAGTTTCAGAAGAAACCACCTGAGGCATATCTGGAAGAAATTCACAGTCGTTTCCCTTCGTGTTCACAATGAATGCCTGAGAATGGCCACGGTTGTTTTTCAGTGTGAACTATATTAATAAGACAAAAATATATAGAGTTATGACTATGTATAAAACGCCACGATATGTGGTTCAGTGACGGCGAATTCCTGACGTCTTCAAGAAGGGCCCACCTCGGGCATATGTAAACGATCTTTACCTTTTGTGGTCTTCGCGTTCACATCAGCGCTTCTGTCGATGAGCTTCTCTGCCGTCGCCTCATGCCCTTCCTGAGCCGCCAAGTGTAACGGAGTAAACCCTGAAACGGGAAGATAGACAAATTAGCAAGATGCAGAGGGTGCGTAGTTCCATCTCATAATGTATCAAATATTTGTGCCACTTCGCTTCCTCTACCTTACACATCATTAATATTATCCAGGTTTATTGTTCGATATCGGTTTTGAGTGATCAGCAGTGTACTATCAGGAACTGAAGTCCGATAGCCTGGCAAAGGTATCTAGGCGTCACCCGTAGATGTCGCAGTAAGGGAGGTAACAAGGCGGGGGCAATGGCACACACACACACACATATATATATCTATGTATATATGGTATGTATAGAAATGGCTCCTAACAGCAATTTCCGTCGTGTTTCGAACGAATGTAGCACTCATTCCCGTCGGACACATAGCTCAGCTATGATTTCGGCCCCATTAGTTAGGGAGAATATGAAAGAAAACCTGGGAATTGCCGGACAAAAGCGAAAGATCGAGTTAAGTCAGTAACTCTGCTATGGAATGCACAAACGCAGTATATAGAGGGCTTCGTCCCATCAATTCCCTTTCCAGAGGGCTTACCGACCCATAAACACATATGTATGTATAAATGTGGTCATGTTTAGTGATTATCACTATGATCGTTGTAATACTTATAGTTATTATTATTAGTAGTAATGTTATTATCATCACTGCTGTTAGAACTATCATCAATATCATTATATTGATTATTACTAATACAATTATTGTAATGACCATCGTGTAATTATCATTTTTATTACTAAAATTACCATTAACATCAATATCATGGTTATAATAACCATGATATCAATCATGATCATTGATGTTTGCTACTAGTACATATTAAATAGTTTTATTACTGTTATCATCATGTCATTATCATTGCTAGTTTTCCTATTATTATTATTATCATTCTTCTTCGAGGCAAGTACATTGCACGGAAGTAGTTAGAGCATCAGTTTATGCACATATATACACGACTATCCAGAGGGTATATATACACACACACATGTATCTATCTATCTATATATATATATGCATATATATATGTGTGTGTACACACACACACACACATACGCACGCATGCACGCACACACGCACACACACACCTCTTTGTTTATCCTTCCTTCTCTTTCCCCTCGTTCGATATCGGTAACTCACAGTTCAAGTAAACAGGGAAGGGTGAAAGGTGGGGGGGGGGGGGACAGGATAAATTAAGAACAAACGGACAATACGGTAACAAACGCCTTAACGATAAGACAGCCTTCATTGTATCAGGAACCGTCTTACCGCCAAGCGTTGCGGCGTTCCTCTCGGCTCCTTTCCCTAGGAGGGCCTCGGCCGCCGCGCCCCGACCGTTCTGGGCAGACCAGTGCAGCGGCGTCCACCCTAACGAAGGAAAATGCTTGGTCTTCCGTTTCTGTCTCTATTCCGAGAGAAAGGATGCTAATGTGGATACATACACACATACACACATACACACACACACACACACATATATTCATACTTATATATATATAAATATATATATATATATAGATGTATATAAACATATGTATACATACAAATATATATATATACATATATATATATGTTTTTTTGTTTTTTTTCAACAGCCATTCATTCCACTGCAGGACATAGGCCTCTCTCAATTCAGTATTGAGAGGTTATATGGCGGTGTCACCATGGCCTGATTGGATGCCCTTCCTAATCAACCGCGATTCGGCGCGCTAACACTTGTGCCACGGCGGTGACTTTCCCTACGGCACCTGCGTTTGACTTCTCAAGGCGATATGTCGTTTTCTCGGGCTGGAGTCAGAGCGCAGGCATTTTTACGACTGCCGCGACGGGGAATTGAACCCGGGTCCACGAGGGTCGGAGTCCAGTGCTCTAACGACTGAGCTATCGCGGCAGTCACAAATATATATATATATATTACATTACCAGAGAACCACCTGAGCCACATCTGAGATAACCTTACTCATGTCGTCTTTCGTGTTGGCATTAGCTCCTTTGGCAATGAGCGCCTCTACCACCACTTCATGGCCTTCTTCAGCAGCTAAGTGTAGTGGAGTATGCCCTGAATAGATTAAACAAGATGCAGACTAATTCCACTTCTTAACCCAATGCCGCCGGGGAAAAATGAACAAAAAATGGGGAAAATGCTGTGCCCACTTTCTATGTTTTTCGTGAAATGTCTGCCGATAGATGGCTCTGCTAGCGCCTGATTTGAAATGGCGGGTAAAACGTATTTTTCACTAGTGCTATGAAAATCGATGGTGTTATTTTTATCATAAACATTATAATTTTTATAATGTTTTTTTATCATTAGTAACAGCAAAATAAGATAACGTTAAATATTTCGTAAATCAATGAATCGGGTAAACGGGCGAGACGGGCGGTGCTCGTAGTTGTTACAAGTGTTGCCATCTATGCGTAAAAACAATCAAACAAGTACTCACGGTGGGCATAGCTCGTACGTACACGTCATACCCGGCACCAATGGGTTAAATGTATCAAATTCTAGCACCCCCTCCCCCTTCCCTTTGCCTTAGGTCGAGTGGCAGGTTTTCTACCGTGGCAGGTATAGGAAAAGGAATCGCAGGAAGGTCTTTTTAAATATGTAAGTACCTCGTAAGAGTCGACGCTGCTGGGAAGAGATGTTGAGTCTTATCACCGAAGAAATTTTGGGGGAAAATAATAGTTTTAGATTTGTTTTTGTTTTGATGAATAGCAGTATTAAGAGATTAATTATGGTGGCATGTCCCCTCTGTAGAATAATCAATTTTGTTGGTTTATATCTAGTGGTACGCTCTGCTTCGTGCATGTATACTTGTGGTATGCATATATTGTTGTTTGTTTGTTGTGTGTTGCTTTTGCAGAATAAAATATACGAGTACGTGATTTTAATTACTTTCTATGACATAATAGTAGTAATAGTATTAGAAAAAAACAAAATAATGATGCTAATAACAATAATAGTGATAATAATAACATCACTGATGATAATCATAATCATAACAAAATAATAATGATAACAACAATAATAGTGATAATAATATCACTGATGATAATCATAATCATAACAGTAATCATTATGATAATAGTAAGAGTTATACTGTAATAAATGCAGGAATGGTAACTAACAATAACTACAAGATTACTGACCTTCAACAGTGTATATAAATATATCCATAAGAAATACACAAAGGCACAAACACATATGTATGTATAAATGTGGCCATGTTTAGTGATTATCACTATGATCGTTGTAATACTTATAGTTATTAGTAGTAGTAGTAGTAGTAATGTTATTATCATCACTGCTGTTAGAACTATCATCCATATCATTATGTTAATTATTACTACTAATACAATTATTGTAATGACCATCGTGTAATTATCATTTTTATTACTAAAATTACCATTAACATCAATATCGTGGTTATAATAACCATGATATCAATCATGATCATTGATTTTTGCTACTAGTAAATATTAAATAGTTTTATTACTGTTATCATCACGTCATTATCATTGCTATTTTTCCTATTATTATTATTATTATCATTCTTCTTCGAGACAAGTACATTGCAATTATTATAATAATTGTTCTTTTTCTTTTTCCTATTATTATTTCAATTAATATCATTATGCAATACATAGATAGGAAAAAATCAATAACAATAATTATTACAATAAAGATAAAAGTAGTATGAATAGTATAATTTATGCTTATATTTAAAGCACCAATCTATTTAGTTTAATACTTTCAGAAGAAACCACCTGAGGCATATCTGGAAGAAATTCACGTTGGTTTTCCTTCGTGTTCACACTGAATGCCTGAGAAGGGCCACGGTTGTTTTTCAGTGTGAACTATATTAATAAGACAATATATATATATATATAGAGTTATGACTATGTATAAAACGCCACAATATGTGGTTCCGTGACGGCGAATTCCTGACGTCTTCAAGAAGGGCCCACCTCGGGCATATGTAAACGATCCTTACCTTCTGTGTCCTTCGCGTTCACATCAGCGCCTTTGTCGATGAGCTTCTCTGCCGTCGCCTCGTGCCCTTCTAGAGCAGCCAAGTCTAACGGAGTACACTCTGAAACGGGAAGATCAACAAATTAGCAAGATGCAGAGGGTGCGTAGTTCCATCTTATAACGTATCAAATATTTGTGCCACCTCGCTCCCTCTGCCTTAAACATCATTAATACTATCCAGGATTATCGTTCGATTTAGAATGGTCACAGTGTACTATCAGGAGCAGAAGTCCGACAGCCTGGCAAAGGTTTCTAGGCGTCACCCGTAGATGTCGCAGTCAGGGAGGTAACAAGGCGGGGGGCAAAGGCACACACACATATATATGTATATATGGTATGTATAGAAATGGCTCCTAACAGCAATTTCCGTCGTGTTTCGAACGGATGTAGCCCCCCCCCCCTCCCGTCGCACACATATCTCAGCTATGATTTCGGCCCCGTTAGTTAGGGAGAATATGAAAGAAAACCTGAGAATTGCCGGACAAAAGCATGAATATATGAATGTATATATATATATTCATACTTATATATATATATGTATGTATTTATAGATGTATATAAACATATGTATGCATACAAATATATATATATATATTTTTTCCAACAGCCATTCATTCTACTGCAGGACATAGGCCTCTCTCAATTCAGTATGAGATATACGTTTCGGGAATCATATCTCGAAGTTTCACGGGGAATAAAGCTTTAAAAATAAGAGCATTACAATTATTTTTCACATCCTCTCTGGTGGTACGCTCTGCTTCGTGTATGTATACATGTGGTATGCATATATTGTTGTTTGTTTGTTGTGTATTGTTTTTGCAGAATAAAATATACGAATATGTGATTTTAATTACTTTCTATGACATAATAGTAGTAATAGTATTAGAAAAACAAAATAATGATGCTAACAACAATAATAGTGATAATAATAACACCACTGATGATAATCCTAATCATAACAAAATAATGATAACAACAATAATAGTGATAATAATAACATCACTGATGATAATCATAATCATAACAGTAACCATTATGATAATAGTAAAAGTTATACCGTAATAAAAGCAGGAATGGTAACTAACAATAACTACAAGATTAACGATTCTCACAAATTAAAAAAAAAAAAATCCTTATAACAACAATGATGATACTAATTATTAAATAAAAAATCAGGTAAACTTATAATGAATATAACATCGATAATAAAGTTAGCAGAAATACTTCAATCATAATGATAAACGTTTTAATAATGAAATACAGAGCATAACAGATGATGAACTGATAACGATAACACCAACAGAAAAAAAAAACCATGTATATTCATATCTAAAGCACTAATATATTTAGTCTAATATATAATTCCTGTTATCTCTACTGTAAAACCCCCTCAATTTTATCTCAAATTGCCTTACCAGCGTCGTTTTTAGCGTTCAAGTCAGCGCCTTTAGCAATGAGTGCCTCTACCATCGCCGTGTGCCCGTTGTGAATTGCCAGGTGTAACGGGGTGTTCCAGCAATAAACGAAATGTAGTGTGCAGTTCCGGAAATACTTGTACCTCTTTTTGCCTTTTATCTTTATAGCATGTGTCTAATAGTTGTGATTACTGACCTTCAACAGTGTATATAAATATATACATAAGAAATACACAAAGGCACAAACACATATGTATGTATAAATGTGGTCATGTTATGTGGTTCAGTGACGGCGAATTCCTGACGTCTTCAAGAAGGGCCCACCTCGGGCATATGTAAACGATCCTTACCTTCTGTGTTCTTCGCGTTCACATCAGCGCCTTTGTCGATGAGCTTCTCTGTCGTCGTTTCGTGCCCTTCCTGAGCCGCCAAGTGTAACGGAGTAAACCCTGAAAGATAAAAAAGATAAACAAATTAGCGAGATGGAGAGGGTGTGTAGTTCCATCTCATAATGTATCAAATATTTGTGCCACTTCGCTTCCTCTACCTTACACATCATTAATGTTATCCAGGTTTATTGTTCGATATCGGTTTTGAGTGATCAGCAGTGTACTATCAGGAACAGAAGTCCGGCAGCCTGTCAAAGGTTTCTAGGCGTCACCCGTAGATGTCGCAGTAAGGGAGGTAACAAGGCGGGGGCACACACATATATTTATATGTATATATGATATGTATAGAAATGGCTCTAAACAGCAATTTCCGTCGTGTTTCGAACGAATGTAGCACTCATTCCCGTCGGACACATAGCTCAGCTATGATTTCGGCCCCATTAGTTAGGGAGAATATGAAAGAAAACCTGGGAATTGCCGGACAAAAGCGAAGGATCGAGTAAAGTCAGTAACTCTGCTATGGAATGCACAAACGCAGTATATAGAGGGCTTCGTCCCATAAATGTGGTCATGTTTAGTGATTATCACTATGATCGTTGTAATACTTATAGTTATTATTATTAGTAGTAGTAGTGTTATTATCATCACTGCTGTTAGAACTATCATTCATATCATTATGTTAATTATTACTACTAATACAATTATTGTAATGACCATCGTGTAATTATCATTTTTATTACTAAAATTACCATTAACATCAATATCATGGTTATAATAACCATGATATCAATCATGATTATTGATTTTTGCTACTAGTAAATATTAAATAGTTTTATTACAGTTATCATCATGTCATTATCATTGCTATTTTTCCTATTATTATTATTATTATCATTCTTCTTCGAGGCAAGTACATTGCACGGAAGTAGTTAGAGCATCAGTTTATGCACATATATACACGACTATCCAGAGGGGAAGGAGGTTAAGAAAGAAGGGGGAAAGGGAGAAGGGAAGGGGTTTAAAAAGGAAATGGAAACAGAGAAGAGAAAAGAGAGGGAAAATGGACACAGAGACGAGGAAAGAGAGGGGAGATTGAGACAGAGACGAGGAAAGAGAGGAGAAATGGAGATAGAGAAGAGGAAAAGGAGAATTGAAGAGGAAAAGGATATGAGTAAGGGGAAAGGGATGGTGAAAGAGAAAAGGCTTAAAGAAAAAGGGAGGATGGGAGAGTGAGGGAAGAGGACAAGAGTAGAGAAAGCGGGGAAGTTTAGGGAGGAAAGTGAGAGGGGAGGAGTAAATAAAAGATTACAGAGTGGAATGGGGTGACACAGCGGGAAAGGGAAAGTTGAGGGAGATAGAGAGGGAAAAGAAAAGGGAGAGAAGACCAAAAGGTAGGAGAGTGAGAGGGAGAAAGAAGTATCATTTATCCCCCCCCCCCTTCCCCTTGGTACTTCCCGGAATCCCTATAGTTATTACCATTATTAACATCATTATTATTATTATCATTATGTTTCTCGTTAGTATCATTATCTTTGCTATCATTATCCCTATAATAGTAAAAAAAAAAAAAAAATAGTAGTAGTACTCTTTATCCTATCGCTGTTATTTTTGTTATGGTTACATTCATCATTATGAATATACGGATTTTTGTTATTATAATTGTTCTTTTCCTTTTTTCCTATTATTATTTTAATTATTATCATTATGCAATACATAGATAGGGAAAAATCAATAACAATAACTATTACAATGAAAATAAAAGTAGTATGAATAGTGTAATTTATGCTTATATTTAAAGCACCAATCTATTTAGGTTAATTGTTTCAGAAGAAACCACCTGAGGCATATCTGGAAGAAATTCACAGTCGTTTTTCTTCGTGTTCACAATGAATGCCTGAGAATGGCCACGGTTGTTTTTCAGTGTGAACTATATTAATAAGACAAAAATATATAGAGTTATGACTATGTATAAAACGCCACGATATGTGGTTCAGTGACGGCGAATTCCTGACGTCTTCAAGAAGGGCCCACCTCGGGCATATGTAAACGATCTTTACCTTTTGTGGTCTTCGCGTTCACATCAGCGCTTCTGTCGATGAGCTTCTCTGCCGTCGCCACGTGCCCTTCTAGAGCCGCCAAGTGTAACGGAGTATACTCTGAAACGGGAAGATAGACAAATTAGCAAGATGCAGAGGGTGCGTAGTTCCATCTCATAATGTATCAAATATTTGTGCCACTTCGCTTCCTCTACCTTACACATCATTAATATTATCCAGGTTTATTGTTCGATATCGGTTTTGAGTGATCAGCAGTGTACTATCAGGAACAGAAGTCCGATAGCCTGGCAAAGGTATCTAGGCGTCACCCGTAGATGTCGCAGTAAGGGAGGTAACAAGGCGGGGGCAATGGCACACACACACACACATATATATATATATATATATATATATGTATATATGGTATGTATAGAAATGGCTCCTAACAGCAATTTCCGTCGTGTTTCGAACGAATGTATCACTCATTCCCGTCGGACACATAACTCAGCTATGATTTCGGCCCCATTAGTTAGGGAGAATATGAAAGAAAACCTGGGAATTGCCGGACAAAAGCGAAAGATCGAGTTAAGTCAGTAACTCTGCTATGGGATGCACAAACGCAGTATATAGAGAGCTTCGTCCCATCAATTCCCTTTCCAGAGGGCTTACCGACCCATAAACACATATGTATGTATAAATGTGGTCATGTTTAGTGATTATCACTATGATCGTTGTAATACTTATAGTTATTATTATTAGTAGTAGTAGTAATGTTATTATCATCAATGCTGTTAGAACTATCATCAATATCATTATATTGATTATTACTACTAATACAATTATTGTAATGACCATCGTGTAATTATCATTTTTATTACTAAAATTACCATTAACATCAATATCATGGTTATAATAACCATGATATCAATCATGATTATTGATTTTTGCTACTAGTAAATATTAAATAGTTTTATTACTGTTATCATCATGTCATTATCATTGCTATTTTTCCTATTATTATTATCATTCTTCTTCGAGGCAAGTACATTGCACGGAAGTAGTTAGAGCATCAGTTTATGCACATATATATACGACTATCCAGAGGGGAAGGAGGTTAAGAAAGAAGGGGGAAAGGGAAGGGGAAGTGGTTTAAAAAGGAAATGGAAATAGAGAAGAGAAAAGAGAGGGGAAATGGAGACAGAGACGAGGAAAGCGAGGAGAAATGGAGATAGAGAAGAGGAAAGAGAGAGGAAAAGGAGAATTGAAGAGGAAAAGGAGATGGGTAAGGAGAAAGAAATGGAGTGACAGCGGGAAAGGGAAAGTTGAGGGAGATGGAGAGGGAAAAGAAAAAGCAGAGAAGAATGGAATGGAATGGAATTTCCAGGGATCCCTATAGTTATTACCATTATTAATAATATTATTATTATCACCTTTCTCGTTAGTAACATTATCTTTGCTATCATTATCCCTATAATAGTAAAAAGAAAAAATAAATTACAATTAGTAGCAGTAGTTTTTATGTTATCACTGGTATTTCTATTATGGTTACATTCATCATTATAAAAATTATACGGAT